CGTATTTAGGGTTGAGTTTGTCCCAGAGTGCCAACGTGTGGGTGAGTGCCGGAGAGGTGGGCAGAGGGAGCGGATGGTGGACGGGGGGCACCCACATATAGGATGATGGTTGGTCCCAGCCCAGGATATCGTGCTCCAGGTCCACCCATCGCTTGGCACTCGGGGGCGCATGCCACTGCAGGACATGGGCCAGGTGGGCCGCATTGTAGTACTGCAGGAAATTGGGTAGCCCAAGGCTTCCGCTGGTTTTAGGGACGTACATGGTCGACCTGCGGATGCGTGTTTTTTTGGCCCTCCAAATGAATTTGTCAATGGCGGCCTGGAGCTCTTTGAAGTCTTTTTTCTGTATGGGAATGGGTAGCGTTTGGAAGAGGTACAGAAAGCGCGGTAGTAAATTCATTTTGATAGTTGTGACTCTGCCGAGCCAGGAAATCCCAAGTCTGTCCTATCGTTGTAAGTCTAGGTGTGCTGTTGCCAGCAGAGGTTTGCAGTTGAGCTCGTAGGTATCTTCCAGATTGAGGGGCAGTCGGGTGCCCAGGTATGTGAAGTGGGAGGGAATCAGGTTTTTGAATGTGTTAAATGACACATTTATGTCACAACTGGTACAAGCACCAACTAGAAAGGATGCTTGTCTGGATCTCGTTAATCTTTTAACCAACATTCAAGTAGGGGAGCATTTGGGAAATAATGATCACAATATGGTAAATTTTGAAATAAACTCCAAAAAGCAAAAGCAAGTGGGGTATACTAAAACATATAATTTAAAAAAAGCCAATTTCAATAAGATTAGGGTAGCTCTACAGCATATCGACTGGCATAAACTCCGTAATGATAAAAACACTGAGGAAAAATTGAAACTATTCAAACAAATATTAAAAAGGTACATTTCTCAGTATGTACCATTGGGTAATAAATATAAAAGAAACAAATTAAAACCAATGTGGCTTAGTAGAGAAGTAAAACAAGAGATTAAAAATAAGAAAAGGGCATTTAAAGCATTTAAATCAGGCAAATCAGAGGCATCCTATTTAAGATATAAGGAAGCCAATAACGCTTGCAAAAAGGCAATTCAAGTGGCTAAACTAGAAAATGAGAAATTGATAGCCAAAGAATGCAAAACCAACCCCAAAAATGTATTCAAAGCAAAAAAATGAAAGTGTACACTGGAAACAGAGTTGGGTTTATTAGCTAATGAAGACCAGGAAAAAGCTGAAATTTTAAATAACAATTTTTCTTCAGTATATATTAATGAGGATCCTATGGCAAGAGATATGCAAATGATTGCTGCTAAAAACTTGCAAATAACTTGTGATTGGATTACTCGAGACAAGGTGCTACAGCTATTAAAGAAAATTAATGTAAATAAAGCTCCGGGGCCTGACAGTATTCACCCACGAGTACTTAAGGAGCTAAGTGGGGAAATAAGTGAACCTCTGTATTTAATTTTTCAAGATTCTTTTGTTTCAGGTATTGTACCGGAGCATTGGAGGAAGGCAGATGTTGTTCCTATATTTAAAAAGGGTTCAAAATCCTTGCCTGGAAATTATAGACCTGTGAGCTTAACTTCTGTAACTGGGAAAATATTTGAAGGGCTATTAAGGGATAATATTCAGGAATTCATTGGGAAGAACTATGTTATTAGAAATAATCAGCATGGTTTTATGAAACATAGGTCATGTCAAACTAACCTAATTGCATTCTACGAAGAAGTAAGTAGAAGTATAGATCAGGGTGTTGCAGTGGATGTGATCTACTTGGATTTTGCCAAGGCAATTGATACGGTTCCTCACAATAGGTTAGTCTTCAAACTAAAAGAAATTGGTCTAGATGAATATTCTTGTTCTTGGGTAAAACATTGGCTTAAGGATAGAGTACAACGAGTTGTCATTAATGGTAAATTTTCAGGCTGGACAAAAGTGGTAAGTGGTGTCCTTCAGGGTTCTGTTTTGAGACCACTTCTATTTAACATATTTATAAATGATCTTGAAATAGGCATTGAAAGCCATGTATCAGTGTTTGCAGATGACACAAAACTTTGTAAAGTATAAATGTGAGCAGGATATTGCTTTGCTGCAGAGGGATTTGGATAGATTGGGGGACTTGGCACTAAAATGGCAGATGAAATTTAACGTAGAGAAATGCAAAGTTATGCACTTCGGGGTTAAGAATGCACAAGCAATTTACACCCTAAATGGTAGTGAACTAGGGATAACCACACTCGAGAAGGATTTGGGAATTGTTATAGACAACAAATTAGGCAGCAATATGCAATGTCAATCTGCAGTTGCTAAGGCCAGTAAGGTTTTGTCATGTATAAATAGGGGCATAAATTCTCGGGATGAAAATATAATTTTGCCTCTTTATAAATCGCTGGCAAGACCACACCTTGAATATGCTGTGCAATTTTGGGCGCCTGTTCTAAAGAAAGATATCATGGCACTAGAAAATGTCCAGAGACGAGCTACAAAATTGATAAAAGGAATGTAGCATTTTAGTTATGAAGAAAGGTTACAAAAATTAAATCTGTTTAGTTTGGAAAAACGGCACCTGAGAGGGGATATGATAACATTATACAAATATATTCAGGGCCAGTACAAACCTTTATCTGGAAATCTATTCATAAACAGGGCTATACATAGGACACAAGGTCACACATTTAGGCTGGAAGAAGACAAAGACACACACATACAGAGACACAGACACACACACACCACACATACAAAGACACAGACACACACATCACACAGACACATACAGAGACACAGACAAAACAGACACATACAGTGACAGACACACACATACATACAGAGACACACACACAGAGACACACACACACACACATACACACAATGTTTCCTGTTCCCACTCTGACTCCTTCCTCCTTCCTGCTTTCCCTCACGTGGGCTCTTATAGCTGGGAGGAGTGACCAGGGAGTCACTTCCTCCCATCAGTGATCTCATCACAGGGGGCCCGGTCGTGCTGTTAAAGGGCCCAGCGCTGATAGGGAGCCCAGATAATCCATATCCATCGGAAAGCCCTGACAGCATGGGCCACCCGATGTGCACCTTAACATGCGGCCCCGGTGGTTTGCCGCGCGTGCCGGGACCGCAAAACGTGGTAGCTGGTACCTGGTCGCGGGGGTCCGCAGGGCGGCCGGGTCCCCTGGAGTGACGGGCCCTGCCGCAGCTGTGACCCCTGCGACCACGGTATGTACACCACTACAGACAGGTACACACAGAAACACAAAGACATGCACAAGAACACAAAAGTACAGATAGGCACTGACACATACACAGACAGGAACACACACAAAGACAGGCACCAAGAGGTAGATACACTTACAGATATACACAGACACAGGCAGGCACAAAAACAGGAAAGCACAGGCACACACAGACGGGTACACAAAAGCACAGACAGCTACACACAAGCATAGACAGACAACCATACAGGCACAGACATGAACACACAGACAAATCTTACAGTAATGCGTGGTGTATTACAGAGTTCCTCAGCTATGTGCAAATAGATATGTTTATTTTGTGTTTGTGGTGAAGTATGCGTGTCTTGGGTTTGTAGAGAGAGTGTATGTATATAGGGAATACAGTGCAGGAAGATGTAGTGTGAGTGCTGTGTATATAGTGTGTAACTAAGGGGATGCAGAGTGTTTGTGTAGCAGATGAAGTGCCTGTGTATAGGGGAAGCAGTGTGTGCATGGGATGTAGTATGTATGTAGAGGGTGTAGTGTGTTTTTGTTGGTGATGTACTGCGTGTATGTGTGTGTAAGGAATGCATTGTTTGTTTGCTGGTATTGCAATGTGAATAGGGGGTGTATTATGAGATAACCAATGCAAAGTATGTAGGAAATGTATTGTATGTATGATGCCCATGCAGTGCATGTATGTATGTATTTATGTATGTGTGAGCTTTTTTATTTAGCTTAGCTTATATTTATTTTAATCCTCCCTCCTTCTGGTTACCTTGGGGCAGGGGAGTGGGGACATCACGATCAACCCTGGTGGTCCAGTGTCTGTGTGTGTAGAGCCTCAGGTATCTCCCTCTGCCGGAAGCATATCTCCTACAATAGCTCTTGCGTGCTTTGCACTCTCAGTTTCTGAGCATTGCCATGGTAACCCAAATTGCCCAGTGCTCACAGGAGCTATACACCAGCTCTGCAACCAGCAGAGGGTATGACTGGTGATATCACCAGCCGTTGCCCTAGAGTGTGGGCAACGGCTGGTGATATCTCCATCACCACCGGCCCATAAAGGCACCCCTTTGATGGGCTAGTGTGGGTGCATTTTAAGGTAGCACTGACAGCCCTGCAGATAGGGTAAATAAGATCAGCGGCTATAGGCCCCACATTCGAGGTGCTCAAGCCCTCCTCCTTGGCTTGCAGTGGCTCTCTATGAGGGGCAGTGCACTCCAAGCACAGAAATGCCATGGATTCATTGTAAACTGACTGCTCTAGTCCTATGGACAACAGTTACACAATCAATCCAGTTTAAATGATGTTCTAGAATTGTCATTCATGCTAACACATTTTTTTTTCATGAGAGCTTAGTTTGAAGGGTTAAAAATATGTTACTATCATGGAAAATTTAGTAACGCGCTTTGACCTATGTGCCTTTACGTGAGCTTAAAATGCAGTAATAAAGATATGCAAGCCATTAGGAGATAAAGTGTCTATTAAAAAAAAGAAAAAGATTGTACAATTTTCTCAAGAAGCACAGTGATTTTATAACAGAAAGGTTACAACTTAACACACGCTAAAACAAAAACAAAAGATGCTGGATAGATATGTATAGTATATATGTAAGTTTTCCAACAATACCAATTTCATCAGGATAGTTCCAATGTCAAGGTCTCGTTAATGTTGATCTTTTAACCAACATTCAGTGATGTTTGCATTATCCACCCATACAACCTTAGAAGATTGGCCTGCTTCATTTGCAGGCAGCCTGGCCTGCACTCACGTCCGTTTGACTTGACAATTCTTCAGGTGGACCTGCAACCTTCCCGGGCAACGCCAGTGATACAATTCAAATCACCGACTCTCCTCCTATTACCACCTCACAGATGTCATGCTTCATAGGACACCAATGTTGGGGTGTATGTATATGATAGGGTGTGAATCTTAGTTTTACATGTTACTGTGCCCATAGGTGAGTTCAGTGGATGTGGTAATTGTATCTACTCACACACTAATGAATTACTGTGGAGTTGGTCAATTGAAAAATTACATTAAACCCTATTAATATATACATTTTGCAAAAGTAAAAAAATAGACCTTTTTTCAGGAAGTGCGTAATTCACAGCCAGGGGTGTGAGGCTAGTTCTGCTTTTGTCCCTTTGGTAATGGAAATTACACACACATACAGTCATATATACATACACATTCATATGCATAGATATTCATATACACACATACTTACATTGATATACACATACATTCATACACAAACACACACACTCATATACAAACGCACGTTCATATAACCACACAGACTTTTATACAAACACACATCCATATACACACACTTCATTTCACTGGGGGTTGAAGTGTAAGGGGGGGCGGGGGGGAGGCATTAAAAAAATAGTTATTCTGTTACTTGACCTGAATTCTCAGCACATGTATGAACGTTGGTGCTGAAAGCTCCATGTTTTTCAGTTTAAAGAGGCACTGTCATGTTTAGTTTTCCTTTCTACTCCCATTCCCACTTGCCTTTATATTTATTATCTTTTCTTCCTTTTGCCAGATCTCAGTACTTAACAGCAGCCATTTTCTTCTGCCCACAATGTCTGCATTTTGCCCTTTTGTTAGAATTCATGTGACTTGTGGATTGTGCAGCTTAACAAGTGAAATGTAAGTTTAACTGGAACTTTGTTTAAGCTCCGCCTAATGCCAAAAATCATGCTTCCTATAACAAGTAGTTCCTATTAGTTTTATGCATAACTAAAAAAAACTAAGGTCAATTAATAAATTTAATAAGGAGGAGAAATAGAGAAACAGAAAAACATAAATTTTAAAACAAAACCTGCACAGTGACCAAGCCACTTTAGAGACCCATGGTAAGCCACATCTACATGTTATTGTTTAGTTTCTTTGTGGGCTATCGTTTAAATAAGTAAAAGTCTACCTTCCAGTTAGTGATGTATTTAGCATTTTTGAAATGTCCAGAAACCACCACAGATACTTTCTTTGCAGCACCACCCCCTGACTATCCTGTTCTGCCAGCATTTATATAAGCCCCTTGCAAATATGTGTCGTTTTTGTGAGCACGTGTGTGTTCTTATGTGCAATACAGATACATATATATAGGGACTTCGGGGGAGAAAGAGAGATGGAATTGTGCCACTGGCACTAACCAAAGGGGGTAGATTTGCCCAGAAAGTTTCAGTGCTCTCTACAGGGTCCTAATACCCTGAGCAAAGTGCGAGCATGTATAAAGATGGGCTCGAACTATGCCTGTTGGGGAAAGTTGCCTGGTATCCACAAAATCGGTACACTACGGAACTAAGCCTTTGATCTAATACTGTTGGATACGCCTCCATAATGATTTAATACTATTAGTGATTTTGATGGGACAGCCATGTTGTCTTTTAGGGTTATACACGAAAGTGAGAATTCAAAGTGACATTCAAACTTAATATCACAACAGCTGAAGTGCAAATATTCACCTAATCAGCTATACTTTCAGTTGATCTACTCTGGTCTTGAGTTTTAAAATCTCTTTGAATTCTCACTTTAGTAAATAACCCTGTTTGAGTGACTGGTTGTGTGTATGACTGCATCTGTAAACTGTGTGTGTGTGTGTATCTGTGTTTATGTGATTGCATTTGCATATGTAATTTTTGAGTGGTAAGGAGGGGGGTGGTTGTGTGATTGCATCTGTACAATGTGATTGGCCATGAGCGTATGTGTCATTTGGTACTATGGTAAGTTCCAGCATGAGAGGATGTGGAGGTTGCTGTACTGGCACGAAGAAGAAGAAAATGGACACCTTGCCAATTTAAGCTGGTGGTGATGTCTATTCTAGATATCAGTGCATCACATTGAAGCAGCCCTCACATTTTTTGTTTTCTTTTGGCTTTCATTTCCATATGCACCCTGTATCTTAATACTTCTAGTTCCTCCTTGTACTTGACTTTATTTATATTTATATTTTCTCAATATCTGAATGCAGCCATTTTGTTCTTCTTTGCCCATGATGTGTGCAATAAGCCATGCTGTGAGGTTGATTTTACAGATGGTTTGTGGGTAAATACAATTGGCAACTGAAACAGAATATTGTTTGAGCTCCACCCATTGTCAGGTTTTGCCAACTTGACTGCTATACATAAGGAACAATAATCTCTACATTTCCTTATGTGTTTGAAAACTAGAGCACTTGGAAAAAATAAAAAGAGATTCAGACACAGGGAGTTATACAGAAGTTAATTTTTGGTGACACAGCTACTTTAAGGGACAAACAGCATGCCATGCCCAGCGGCCACTTGGGAGAAGATGGAACACGACATCTAGAAATGCTAAAGCAGAATGTTACATTGGGAAGCAGCAGCATTCACTGATAAAACAAATACATATTTTAAAAATAGGCATCCTGCTGTCCAGTACATCCAGCTTCTTTAGAGCTAACCTTGCTGGAATATTGGGAAACACAGTCGCCTTCACTGCATGAACTCTGCAGTGACCAACACTTACTGGCTGATAGAAATCACCTGGCCTGTACATTTTAGTGAAACACACCAACATTTCAAGATTTACTCGATCTGCACCAGGTAACAAAACATTATTATAAGTAGTCCCAAATTATAAAGAAAAAAACTGATAAAAAATATACAATACAGAGTATTTATTCTTTGTTACATTCCAGTTCATCCACGCATGACATGTTTCTGATAGATGAGGAATGAATGATGTTGAATTCACATTCAAGAAGTGTCACGATACACGGCTAGAAATGAAGTAGGCATATGTGTGGCAATCATACCATGCTAGATCTGTTAAGGTTTCCACTGTATTACTTGTAGAGCAATGGTAGCTGCCCTTCTGACAGCTTCGCTAGAGTCTGCCAGGCATCCTTGGATTAAACTTACATCTTTTAACAGCAAGTTACGGCCCTCCGGGGCCTCTGACAGGGTAGTCAGTGCTTTAAGGCAGTTTAGGCGCACCCTGCTCTGACTGTCATTCACCAGAGACAACAATTTGGGGATGGCACCAGCATGATAAGCAGCATATTTCCCTGAGGAAGGAAAAACACACAGAATCATAAATGGGTTTATAATTGCAGGGTCATAAAACAAAAATACTGCAGATGTTGGGTTCTCCCTCCAATGGCATTCAGCTGTAGCTCTCTGAAAGTCATTTACTGCATGTGTGCATTTTGTGTATTCTGAATATATGCATATATGTGAATTTGCGATCCTATTACAACACAACGATTATAATGAGGTCACATTAAAAAAAACTTACCAAAATGCCTACTCTGTCTGGAGTGCAAAAACCCATCAATCAGCAGAAAAAAGGCGTTAGATAATGGTTCTTTATGAGTTGGTGCTTTTTCTATTTACGTCTAAACTGTGTGCCTTAAGAGCTGCTGTTGATTCAAACCCAAAGCATTTGAGAAATTAGAACTCACTTAACGGCAGTGCGTGTCTTGCCAAACTAAACATACCTCGAGTAGTGATTGTGATGTTCATCAGGGACCCAGCAGCATTAGCTCTCACTTCGCTATCACTGTCTTCCAGTAACTGAATGAGCAGGGGGACCACCTCTTCCTGACATACTCTGTCCTTCCCGGCTAGTGGCACACTGTATGAGGACAAGGTAAAGAAAGAGTCAGTGCATGCTATGCGTATACACACATTATATAGAAAAGTTGTGTTCTGAAAAGTGCTGCAAAGATTTAAAAAGGGGTTTTTATTCACTGCCACACTTTTAGTATTTTAAACCACTTTTCAGAGCACAACAATTTTCATACATAACTCCCAATGTGTCCAAATACCTAAAACCTAATAGCAAAGAAAAAACAAAAACACATCATCCTGCCTTGAAAGCAAGGTTTTCCAGGATAGTGGAAATCCATGCTATTAAATAACCATATAACTTGATTACATTGATTGTGTTGGGTTCCTCTCATTTAATCTTCTTATTAAGCATGTTTTTTTTTTGTTCATTAAAATTAAAAAATTAAAACTAATAAAAGAAAAAAAACATTGCGTAGAAACAAAATATAATGCTAGAAAAAAAATTAAAAACAAGCGACAATACACAAGCCATATTCACCCATGGAGGGCTCTGCGAAGACTGAGCTCTGATATCGGGGAAAGTTCTTATATAGGCTTTCCCATGCTATGCAATATGAGTAAGAGTGGAAAGTAAGCCAACCAATCAGAGAGCTCTGACAGCCAAGTCACAAGAAAAGTCTCTCTTGTGTCTCTTCTTGGCACCGGTGGGAGCACAACGGAGAGGATTAAGTTGTCCCCCCATTATTTCACAGGTTATATCCCCATCAGATGGGGGCAATGGCTGTCAAGTTGCCTGTTTTAACATGTTTGTAGGCATGTTCCTATGGGCATAAGGATGTTTAAACCTCCCTTACAGTAACATGGGGTCTTATTGACTTATTGACCCCACAGGCTTTTTAGTTACTTTGGGTTGTTTTGTTTGTTTTACCTTTTTTTTTAATATGATGGCTGGCTAGCTAGCAAGTGCTGACCAGCCACCACATAATTAAACCTTGCGCCACAGAGGTTTTTTGTTTTGTTACTTTTGAACTATTTGCCTGATGGCTGTAGCACTGCCAGTGTACAAATCGTACTTAAAATTATTATTCACTTACATTAATGCAAGTAAATGAGAATTTCTGAATATTCGGCTGTGCATTTTATTAAAACTGGTGCTTTGTGAATCTTCTGAATCCTATACTTTGTATACAGTTTGTATGCGAAAGCACCAATTTGAATCCAGACACTAAATACATCCAGCCAATTGCTGCAGATTTGCTTGGGCCGACCGAATTCCAACCGCATTTGGCTTTAGTAAATATGAAGAGATTTGCCAATGTAATTAATCCAGTACATGTTAGTTATGCCTTTCAAGATATAGGGCTAATTGTGGGACGAAATATTTCAATGAAAAGAAAAAAGGGGACATGCATTTCCTTGCACAGTAACCAAATATATTAGGAGAGCTAGTGTTAATTAT